ACCAGAAAGCTGGAAGTTCAAACCCACCAGCCACTCCTTGGAAGGAAGACTGGGCAATTTACTTCTGTAGAGATACTGCCTTGGAAACCCAAGGAGGGGTTGCTATGAGTTGGATCTGACTCGACAGCAGTGAGTTTGGTTTTGGTTGTTTTTTGGAACATGCTGTTGTTGTTTGTTTGCCTTCGAGTCGGCCGTGACCTATAGCGACCCCTCCTTGGGTTTCCGAGGCAGTATCACTACGGAAGTAGGATTGCCCAACCTTCCTTCCAAGGAGTTTTGGAACATAGGATGTTAATTATAGGGGACGCTGAGTGCAGGGCATATGGCAACTCTACTATCGTTGCAAGTCTTTGGTAAATATTCTAAAAGAAAGTTTATTCGAAGAAAAAACATACAGAGAATTCTGGTACACCCTTCACCCCAGATGAAACTTTTTACCACATTTTCTTCTGTTTACACACACACGTACACATTTTTCTCCCTGAACCATTTGAAAATGTTAGACATATCTTTATTCTAAGAACATTCTGTTAAATGCAGTCCAGTTGTGAAAGTCAGGAAATTAACACAAACAGTGCTCTTCCCTGACACCTTAAACTGGAGCAGCGGTCCCGCTGTAGTGCCTCCAGCCCCAGTTTGCTTCCCCATGGCATGACCCAGTCCAGTGTCAGGTTTGAAATCCACATGGCAGATGCTTTGCAGAAGGTGCCTCAGCCTGGGTGTCTTGTCTGAGGCTTGCTTGTGACTGAGTACAAGGCATGTGTGTTTGGCAGTGATGCCCAGAAGTGCTGTGTCTTCAATGTGTCCTCTCAAGGGGCCTGTGGGGATGAACTGTCCCATTAGTGGTGATGATAACTTTGATCCCTGTTTAAGTGGCTGGCTATGAGGATTCTGCACTGTAAAGTGGCTATTTCCCAGTGTAGTTAGTAAGTAGCTCATTGGGGATACTTTGAGACTGTGAATATAGGTAGTCCCTGACGGATAACAGCATTCTCTGTTCTAATGGCTGCATCTAAGTCAGTTCTGATGTTAAGTTAAATACCTTTTTTTTTTTAAAAAAAAAGTTTTCACTATTGTCTTTTAGTATCAGTGTCTTTACAGATGTGATCTTTATTTGTCTTTGGGGTTGGAAACATTGGATATCCACTTACAGATATATCTTACCATTGTACGTAGTACATACTATTAAAGATAAGACAACAACAAAAAAAGACATGGTCATGAATGTGATTTGTCCTGATCCAAAGTCGGGGACTGGGTGTTGTTTTCCATCAAAAACTCACCCACTACTTTTAACTTCTGTTAATGTCTCCTGCCTAAAACAGTTCCTACTATGGTGGTTGCCAAATACAGTTTTCTGATTGTATCACTCCGCCTACGTTTGTTACAGTGTAGTGGTGGTTCAGTAGGGCTCCCTGGTGGCGCAGTGGTTAAGCACTTGGCAGTTTGACCCCATCAGCTGCTCCATGGGAGAGCGATGTGGCCGTAAAGATTACAGCCTTGGACACCCTGTGGGGCAGTTCTGTTCTGTTCTGTTCTGTAGGGGCACTGTGAGTCGCAATCAACGGCAGCAGATTCACGAGTGGTTCGGTGGCAGAATTCTTGCTCTCCGTGTGGGAGACCCGGGTTTGATTCCCAGCTGGTGCCTCTCGGGTGCGTCCACTGCTTGTCTGTCCGCGGAGGCTTGCCTGTTGGTGCGGTGCTGGACAGGTTTCAGCGAAGCTTCCGCATTGGGAAGACGGGGCTGGTGATCTTCCACATCACTGAAAACTCGACTGGATCACAAGGGTCCAGTTCACAACAGACCCTGGGGACAGCACTGCATTTCATCTCACGGTGCGTGGGGTTGCTGTGAGTCGGGTGGCCATCTTGATAGCAGTTGACCACAACACTCTACATTGACTCACGTTCTAAGGTAAGAAGGAACATCCCCCAATGTTAGAATGCACTTCCGTTCTAATTTTATCCTATCGTTTGTGACATTTCTGTGTCTCGGTGCTGAACTTGTCCTGGGGACTTCTTGTCATTGGAGCACTTCCTTTCTGCCCCAGAAAGACGCTCCAGATGAGTCTGGCTCTCCTGTGCCGTCTCTGGAGGCGGCCGCTTCTTCGTGTGCGTCCCAGCCCTGATTGCTTTGGATGAAGAAGGGCACTAGTGCGCTCATTACTATTAGAGCGTCCCTGCTCCTGGGCTCTCTCAGGGGACAGGGCTGTGAAATTCATGGATGCACGGATGTATACCAGGATGTCCCCCCAGAGAAGAATGTTCACTGTTTCCAGTCTCTGCTCAGATGTCACCTCCCCATCACAAGGCATTCTCTCTCTCTAACAACCTCATGTGCACACAGTTTTATTTCTAGCATCACTGCAACACCACAAGGTTCCTTCTACTCTCTTTCCATGTTTCATGTGCATTCTCTGACAGTGTGAGGCCTGACTCCTGTTACAGTGTGTTCGTGAATTTGCTCAGGCCTAGAATCCAGCTGAAAGGAGCTCTGGTGCTTAGTGGGTAAGGCATTGGCTGCTAACCAGAAGGTCGGCTTTGTAAACCCACCAGCCACTCCATGGGAGGAAAGGCGGGCAATCTACTTCTGTGGTTTACAGCCTTGAAAACCCAGTGGGGGTCGCTTTGAGTTGGAATTGCCTTGATGGCAGTGGGTTGGTTTCTTTCGTTCATAGAATGCAGCTGAAGCAGTTCAGCATCGCCAGCCTGTACCGCTGCTCAATAAATAAAAGACCCTTGCTTGGGTCAGTTCCCTGCCGCCCCCATCCCGCCACAGCTGGTTCCGTTACATATTTGAAAAACAGATTCACTTGCTTCATAATCCACATCATGAAATTTCAGATTCTGTCCTGTGGCAGTGTTCCAGCACTTGCAAAAGTAGAATAGCTTAATAACCTCCCCTAGCTTCCAGTGGACTTCTCTGTGACCATATATTGAAGTGTATTCCCCATGGGGGCCCACCTGGTGAGTCTCTGGCACATCAGGAGCTTTGACCACCCCCGAGAGGCTTGCAGGTGCCAGGGCAACCCCCCACCACACACACACACACACCCTTTGAAGAGAGAGACTGGGGTGGGTGGAGGGAGGCGCAGGGCGGCTGTGCAGAGCTGGGCTGAGACTCCCTCCTTTGCTTTGGCCTGAGTGGCTTGAGGCCATGCAGGGCCGGGTCCTTCACTTAGTCATTTGATGGATGCTTGCTGGTGCCTGGTCTTCACTAGCCATGGGTTCAAGGATGCTTCAGACCAGACCTGGCCTAGGGTTTGTGTCCCTGGTCTTGAGAGTACAATCTCCTGTAATTCTGCTCTCAGTCAGCAAAGACGCTGAACACCAATGTGAGTCCCAGGGACTGTCATGGATGCTGAGGTCCCAGCCACAAACGAGATGGACCAGACAAAGCCATGCTCTTAGGAGGAGAAACTACCAATGTCAGATGCAGAGAATTAAAAGAAGCTGATTTGAAGGTGACTGGGTGGCTACTAGGAGCTCTGGTGGTGTAGTGCCTAAGGCATTTGACTGCTAATCAGAAGTCTGGTGGTTCAAACCCATCAGCCACTCCTCGGAAGGAAAACTGAGCAATCTACTTCTGTGGAGATAACCGCCTTGGAAAGCCAAGGAGGGGTTGCTATTTGGTTTGTTCAGTTGGGTGGCTACTGGAGATGGGTCAAGAAAGTCCTTGATGGGGAGGTGACATGTAAGCAGAGACCTGAGAGAAAACCCTTCTGTGGGGGAAGAGCATTCAGGCAGAGGGAACAGCCAAGCAAAGGCCCTGAGGCTGGAGGCTGGAGTGTGTAGTGTGGTTGAGGAAGAGCCAGGAGGCCAGTGGCCATAGAGAAGTGATGAGGGGCAGAGGGGCTGGGAGTGAGCTCAGAGAGGTGTGACTGGGGTGGGGGCAGTAGATGACAGTGCCTTCTGGCCCACTGCGAAGACTTTGACCTTCACCCTGAGGGGGATGGAAGGCTCATGGCGAACCATGGCCAGGTGTAATTGTACTTTCCCATTCCCAGGACCCCTCATGGCTGAGGGGGGGGATGGGGGACAGGATAGGAGTCGGCTGCACTAGGCCAGGCCTGCTGATGGTCACGTGGCCCAGCCAGTATTTCAGCTCTAGCCCATGAACGTGGGAAGTGGAGGAACCACAGGTTCGGTAACCACCCCAGAATAATACCCATTGCAAAGAACACACCCAAAACAACCAAACCCGAGGCCGTAGAGTTAGAACTACTACATGGTTTCCAAGGCTGTAATCTTGAAGTGTATTCCACATGGGGGCCCATCTGGTGAGTCTCTGGCATATCGGGAGCTTTGGCCACCCCTGAGAGGCAGACTGGCACATCTTTCTCCGGTGGAGTAACTGGGTCGGTTGAACCACCGACCTTTCAGTTAGCTGAATGCTTCACCACTACACCACCAGGGCTCCTTTGCACAGGACGTGAGGCTTCCTTAAATCTTTGCTAACCAGACGGCTGGCGGTTCAAACCCACCAGCCACTCCTCAGAAGGAAGGTTGGGCAATCCTACTTCCGTAGTGATACTGCCTCGGAAACCCAAGGAGGGGTCGCTATGAGTCGGGTTTGACTCCACGGCACATAACAACAACAACAAAGTTGATTTGTAGTTCCCATGCCTTGAGCTTCTCCTGTATCAGGCCTTGTGCTGGGCACTAATTCTCACACCACTGTCAGCTGAATTTTTAAATACTCCCCCTAATACGTACAAGAAAACTGGGTTCGGGGGGCTGCTCCTGGTAGTTTTTCTCGAGTAGCAAGGCTAGGGCGTGGCTTCAGCGACCTGGTCCTGGAGGGCTGGGGGGGGGCGGGGCTGGCCAATCGGGACCTGGAAGGCGGGGTCTATGTATCAATCATTTGCTTATACACCTGCCCAGGTGAGGCGTGCTAAGCGCGCATGCGTCCAGGCACTTGTAAAGCGCGGTCCTTGGCACACACCCCTCTCCCCCACACTCCACGCTCCTGCGGGAAGAGGTCGGCCAACGCCTGGAGGATGCTGGTGAGACTCAGGAGAAGGGGACCCACCTCCCCACTCCGGTCTCTCCACAGACGCTGACCCCCAGGCCCCCGTCCCTCGCAGAGTCCGCCTGCAAGCCTCCACCCAGAGGCTCCGAGCGCTCTACTCCCCGACGGCGTCCCTGCGGGCACGCGTCTGTCCCCAGGACGCCCAGCGAGGCCCCTGGGGCCGAGGGCGCCGCCGGGGCTGGAGGAGGCGCTGGGCGCGCTGGGGCTGGAGGGAGAGCGCGCGTACGCCGGTGACATCTTCGCCGAAGTTATGGTAGGCGGCCCCGGGGTTAGGGTTAGAGGCGGCGAAGCCGGCTTAGCCGCCCAGTCAGATGTCCGGTCTCTCCCACCTCGCCAGCCTCCTTTCCCACCGCTGCCCACTGGCTTTCCTGCCGCCCTGGCAGTTTCAGAAGGCCTTTTGTACTCTGTGCCCCTCACCATCACTCAAGCTTCCCCCACCCCCGGCGGTGCCTCACAGCCCCTCACAGGTGTCCCTCCTTTGATTTCGTTTGACAAACATTTTGTAATTCATTTAACAAGTGTTTTGGAGCAGTATTCTAGGGACTGGAGATACTGTCTTCATTGTGGGGAGACAAGCAAATACGAGATTATTTCAGAGGGGCCACCAAGACCAAAAACAGGCCGGGGGTCGTCACATTCCGGTGTGAGATACGCCAGGCTGGAAGGAAGGCTGGAGGGATGAATCCACTTACCGAGTGTCTCCCGGGCCCCTCTTCCGGGCTCGGGTCTCAGGAACTGAGCTGCAGCTGGGAGCCGGACTGAGGTCCCTGCCCTTGTGGTACTGGCAGCCTGGTGGGTAAGCAGGCAAAACAGAAATGCCAGATACCTTCAGAATGAAAATGCTACAGGAAACAAAGTGATGGGACAGTAATGGGACCGGGGGGAGGCGGGGGGTGGAGAAGAGGAGAGAAAAGCTGAGACTTGAATGACTGAGGAGCCAGCATGCAAGGAGCTGGGGAGAGACCATTTCAGGAGGAGTTGGAAATGCAAAGGCCCTGGGGTAGGAATGAGTTTGTATGGTTCTAAAAGAAGGGCTGCTGTGGCTGGAGTGAGGTGGAGAGCCTGGAGAGGGTGAAGGGAATTAGGATTTTATCCTGAGGGTACTGGGAGCCAAGGAAGATACTCTCGACTCACAGCGACCCCTCGTTGGGTTTCTGCGGCGGTATCCCTACAGAAGTAGATTGCCCAGTCTTCCTTCCAAGGAGTGGCTGGTGGGTTTGAACCGCTAGCCTTCTGGTTGGCATTCAAATGCCTTAGACACTATGCCCCCAGAGCTCCCAACACACACACACACACACAAACCAAAACCAACCCACTGCTATTGAGTCTATTCTAACTCACAGTGACCCCCATTGGGTTTCTCAGGCAGTAAATCTTTACGGAAGTAGATTGCCCCATCTTCTTTCTGCTGGCTGGTAGGTTTGAACTGCCAACTTTCTGGTTAGCAGTCAAATGCCTTTGGCACTATGCCAAGAAATAGATTATTCCAAAACCAAACCAAACACACTGTTGTCTAGTCAGATCCTACTTGTAGCAACCCCTCCTTGGGTTTCTGAGGCGGTATCACTATGGAAGTAGTTTGTTCAACCTTCCTTCTGAGGAGTGGCTGGTGGGTTGGAACCACCAGGCTTCTGGTTAGCAGTCTAATGCCTTAGGCACTATGCCACCAGAGCTCCTAGATAGATTATATATATGTGTATATGTATATATGTATGTGTGTATAAACTCACTGCCATCAAGTCGATCGTGACTCGTACCAACCCCCCATTAGGTTTCTGAGGCAGTAAACCTTTACAGAAGTAGATCGCCCCACTTTCCTTCTGCAGAGTGGTTGGGCTTGAAACACCAACCTTCTGGTTAGCAGTTAAATGCCTTAAGCACTGCGCCATATGTGTATGTGTGTGTGTGTGTGTGTAGTAAAACTGTTGGATCACTATGAGTTAGAACCAACTCTATGGCAACTAATGTGTGTGTGTATTTACCAGGTCAATATTTTTCACATTACAATTCAGTGATATTAATTACGTTCATCATGTGCAACCATCCTCACTATCTGTTTCTGCGTTTTTGTGGAAGGCTTTTAAGCTGGGAAGTTCCTTGGTCAGCCCCAGAGGGCTGGGTTGAGGATTGGTGGCCAGGAGGTGTCTGGGAACACAAGGGGAGACTCTCAAGAAGCCAGTGGCCTTGGGGGATACAGACTGGAGAGGTGGGTAGGGCCTAGCATCCAGGGCAAAGCCCTGGGTTCTAGACGGGGACAAGAAAAGAGGAGCAGATTTAGAGGCCAGTTTGGGTGTGGCGCCCGTGCGATGTCCAACTGGCGTCCAGGAGGCCGCTGCATCTGGGACTGGAGTTGAGGAGAGAAGCGGATCCACAGGTGGAGAGAGTGAGGTCCGCGTTGCCCAACCCCAGGTGTGCCGGGCGCTGCCTGGGAGGGCCTTGCCGCACACCGTCACCCCGGAGATGCGAGCGCTGGTGGTGGACTGGCTGGTCCAGGTGCACGTACGTACATGCCGGAGAGGGGGCGGGGCCGGGCCCACGTCGCTTGCTGGGACGCTGGTAGTCACCCGTGTCCCTCCTCAGGAGTACCTGGGCTTGGCAGGGGACACGCTGTACTTGGCCGTGCATCTGCTCGATTCTTACCTGCGCTCGGGCCGAGTGCGCCTACACCGCCTGCAGCTCCTGGGCGTGGCGTGCCTGTTCCTGGCTTGCAAAGTGGAAGAGTGCGTACTACCCGAGGTACTTCCGGGCTGGAACTTAGAAAGGTGGGCCCGTGTGTGCCAAGCGCCTTGTGCTTCACCCATCCTGACATATCTGTGTGAGGTTGGGACCTCAAGTGTGTCCCTTTAACAGAGGAGACTGAGGCCCAGAGAGAGGCCCAAAGTCAAGCGGTTGGGACACTCAAGCCTTGAAAAGTTATCTTGAGTAGTGAACAGAACTGCATAGTAAAGTAGGGAGAAAAACAAAACAAAAAAACCCAAACTCACTGCCCGAGTCTGACCGGACTCATAGCGACCCCTCCTTGGGTTTCCGAGGTGGTATCACTATGGAAGTAGATTGCCCAATCTTCCTTCTGAGTAGTGGCTGGGAGGTTTGAACCGCCAGCCTTCTGGTTAGCAGTCAAATGCCTTAGGCACTATGCCACCAGAGTTTCTAAAAAGTAGAGAGCAGTATCTCCGAAACTGAGGCCCAGAGAGCTTAAGAGCATAGGCCGGGGTCACACAGTGGTAAATGGTAAGGTTTGAGCTCAAACCTAAGTCGTTGTGACTCAGACGTCAGTGCTCTCCACGATGTCCAGACACAAAAATCAGTGGCCCATTTTACAAACCTGGAAATTGAGGTCCAGACTGGGGACTGAACCCATCCTAGGCCCTCCAGGGCGGGGAGTGAAGAGCCGGAGTCCGGGATCCCCTCCCCTCTTCCCCCATCCCCTCTGCAGCCTACCTCCCTCTGCCTCCTGGGTGCCGGCGCCTTCTCACGGTCTGAGCTGCTGCGCGCAGAGCGCCGCATCCTGAGCCGCTTGGACTTCCGGCTGCACCACCCAGGCCCGCTGCTGTGCCTCCGACTGCTTGCTGCGCTGGCCCAGAGCGGCCCCCAGGTGCGGGGGCGGGGCTTGCGAGGCGTGGGCGGGGCCTTCAGGGAGGGGCGAGGTCACAGGTTTTCACCGCCTACCTGCAGGTGACGCTACTAGCCACCTATTTCCTGGAGCTGTCCCTTCTGGAGGCCGAGGCTGCGGGATGGGAGCCGGGTCGCCGCGCAGCTGCTGCGCTGAGCCTGGCGCACCACGTGCTAGACCGGACTGGGCCGGAGCCGGCACTTTACAGGCATGACCCCAAAGGAGAAGCCAGGGGACAGGGTTGTGAGGGCATCTCTGTGGCTTCGAGGTCATCCCATCCTGGTTTCTGTCTTTACTGCTTCAGCGAATGAGAGATAACTGGTGGGCTGTTGTTCTTACGTGCCCTGAAGGCGCACCCGACCCATAGCAACCCCTCCTTGGGTTTCTGAGGCGGTATCACTACGGAAGTAGACTGCTCAACCTTCCATCCGAGGAGTGGCTGGTGGATTTGAACTGCCAGCCTTCTGGTTAGCAGTCAAGTGTCTTAGGCAGCATTCTACCAGAGCTGGTTTGATTTCCCCGGGTGTGGGAGAGAATGGGGTGTCTGCCCAGCCTGGGATTGTTTTATTTTCTCTGGGGTGTCAGAATGGTCTGTTTGTCCAGACTTGTCGCCACTTCCCCAGGCCTGGAAGATGCCTTGTGTTCCAGACTTGAGAATGAGGGTCTGTCAGGCCTTGAGTCCCCCAGCTCCACAGCCTGCCCACCTCGGGGCGAATCCTCGTTTCTCCTACCCATGCCCCCGGGCTAGAACTGGATGTCGGTCTGTCCTAGGACCCTCTTTCCCCTCCCCGAGGCCCTGGCTCCCCCTTAGCTGTGACCTGCGGAGAAAATACGTCCTTTACCCCCCTCAGTCGATGTCCCACTCCCATCCCCATCCTTTAGTTGAGGATGGTCTGCCTGTCTGACCTCCAGAGCCCCTGAGCTACCCTGGTGATCCAAGCCGGCGACTCACGTCTTAACTTTCAGCATCCGTCTCTATTGCCACCTCCGGGCCTAGCCCCAGTTTCTCTGTCTCCCCTCCACAGCCCCGCGGAGCTGGCCCCCCTCGAGCCGTGCATGGTCCGCGCCGCGCTCCGGGGCCCTGCGCCGGGCCGCGCCGCTGTCTTCCTCAAGTACGCGCGGCCCCAGCGTCAGGGCACCAGCCTCACTGCCGCCCGCCTGCTCCGCCGTCCCCAACCCGGGCCTCCCTGAGTCGGAAAACCCGGTCAAAAAAAGGCTCCTCTCAGTGTGTGTCTGTCTTCCACTTCATTAAAGAGTTTATTTTAGTCCCAGCGCTGTCGATCCTTCTTGGTCGATGCCTGCTCCTCTTTCGCCTTTGATTGGTCGCTTCCTAGGCCTCTCATCCCTCTGATTGGGTGTTTTCACCAAGAACCTTAACGGCGGCTGGAAGATGCGATTCGAATTCTGAACTCCTCCGCCAGGGGGTGCTGGTGGACTTTCCGCAAGCGCGGCTGAAAACCAAACCAAACGCACTGTGGAGGCTGGTTTCTGACTCACAGCGACCCCCATTGGGTTTTCGAGGTTGTAAATCTTTACGGAAATAGATTGCCCAGGCTTCCTTTCGCGGAACAGCTGGTGGGTTTGAACCGCTGACCTTCAGCAGGGTAAGATGCTTGTGGGAGATGCTGCAACAAATATCTGGAGGGAAGCTGAATGATCCTCACCCTTAAGGTTGGGAGGAAACCCGGAGGACTGGTGCCTGTGGAGGAACTGAGAATGCCCACTCCTGTCTGAGGAAATGCTTCCCTGACGTTGCCAGGTTTTCAGATTTTATTTAAACGAAGCTGAAAATCTGGAATTCCATAAACATCTCTGCTTTCATATGTTGGCAATTCAGTATTTTTCAGTGGTTGCGCAAGCCCAACACGTCACCCATGCTGGCATATAGGGGCTGTGATAGAGTGCAGTACTCGGATCCGACTGACTGAGCCTCTGAAGTGCCTCGGTTTCAGTGGGGATAATGCCAAGGAGCTCCAGTGATGTAGTGGGTAAGGCATTTGGCTGCTGACCAGAAGGTCAGCTGTTCAAACCTACCAGCCGCTCTGCGGGTTAGATGATGAGGCACTATGCTTCCCTAAAGATTTACAACCTTGGAAACCCAATGGGGGTCGCGATGATATATATATGAAGCGTTTAGGACAGTGCCTGACACGTAGTTGGTGTCATCCAAGTAGGAGCATCGCAACCTAACAGGACTGTGAATTAGGTACAGTTGTTTCCATTTGCTACTGTGCCTCTAGCGCCTAACCATTTAGCTAGGTGCAGGGAATGTATTTGTTATGAATCAATGCGCTCCTCGCTGTGTCTTTGGCGCTCTCTGGCGGAGGCGCAGATTGAATCTATTCTTACTGGTCAGCAGATTGGCGCCCCCTGCTGGTCTGAGCAATCCCTTGGGCTGGTCTCAGCTCTGGGGAAGGGCAGGGGTTATTTGCAGGCTAAGACAGCTTTTCAAAAAAACATCTTTAAAAATCATGGTAAGTGTATAGGTAAAGAAACATGTCAACAATCTTTCCATATGGATCTCTACTCTTTTCATTAAAAAAAATGCAATAAAATACAGCTGAGGGGCAGAAAGGTGCCCCACTGCTCCGGAACTGACATTGAGAAATGCGAGAGTGGAACCAAGTCTGGGTCTGGAGGTGCAGCGAGGAGGAGGTTTCCGCCCCTGAGGTGTTCTGGGTTAGAAGACAAGGAAAAGGAGTGTGGTGGAGACTCACTTAGCAAAACACTTCATCAAAAAGCCTGAGGATAGGCAGAGGCGGAGGCAGATGTTGCTGCAGGGGTGGGAGGGGCTAAGTTCGGGTTTGGGCCTGTTGAGTAGGACCTGCGCTGGGACGGCCGGGACCTCTGTCCTCACTGGTAGAACTGACCTGTTGAGTAGGACCTCTGGCGAGTCATGTACTCCTTCCTTCAGCCATTATGTGTGGGTGTGGACTCAGAGCCACACACTCAAGCAAGATAAGAAATGCCGGTGGTTGTTGTAGCCCATCGCTGCCCCAGTCCCGTTCTATGCTTAACCCGCATAATATAACTTAACCCCTACAGCCCCTCTGTGGTCAGCTTGCTTGCTAGTCCCACGACACACAGAAGGAAGTCAAGGTGGAGGAAGATCAAGGGGCTTGGCCAAGGCCCCACAGCTAAGGAAGCCTTTAGGGTGCATTGAAGGACAGTGACCTCCTTCACCTGTTTTTCTCTCAAAAGGCCTCCGCGTTCCGTGTGCACTCTGTTATCGGGCATCTCACTCTGGGGTGCATCTCACCAGTGACTTGTCTGGACAGTAAGCTCACGGAGGGCAAGAAGATCTTGCTTTGACATAGAGCTATCCTCTTGTCCAAGGGGCTCTGGTGGTGTAGTGGGTAAGGCATTTGGCTGCTAACCAGAAAGTCAGCGGTTCAAACCCACCAGCTGCTCCACGGGATGGAAGATCAGGCAATCTACTTACATTACGATTTACAGCCTTGGAAACCCAATGGGGATCGCTATGAGTTGGAATGGATTTTTTTTTTTTTTTTGGTATCCTTTTGTCCAGGCAGCCTTCACTCACCACCTCACCCCAGGGCAGGAGCCTCCTCTGGGCTCTCACAAGCTGTGGTGAATTTTTTCATCTCGATCAGAAGCCTTTGCCCGTGCCTCCCCATTCCGGCCTGGACCGCTCTGCTGTGTTTCCCTTGACCAATCTGGGAAGTCACTGTCTGGGAACTGCGAGCCCAGTGGGGGCAGGACTTGAGGGTCCCAGTGTCTGCTCTGTCCCAGCGCCACTCAGCACAGAGCTGGGCAAAGAAAAGACATCAAAGGGTTTTTGTGGCAGAAATAAATGAAGGGCCTCCAGAGTTGGCATTATTGCCCCCCGTTACAGACGAGGTTACAGAAGAGTTCTAGGTAACCTTGAGCGATTTCTCCAAGTCCTACGCCCATTGAGAAAACAAGCAGGGATTTGAATGAGGGAGTTTGAGTCCGTATCTTGTGTTTTTATCCAACACGTCAAATGGTTAATGGGCTGAAACCAGCTTTCCACGAGGTTGATATCTTCCTGGTCTTTTCCCCGGACTTGTCCTTCCCTTCTAGAAAGGGTCAGGTTTGGGTTTGGGGGAGGCGAGCAGGCAGGAGGGTTAAGATGAAGGACTGGGAAGAGAGAGAAGCTGGCTGCAGAACTGGGACCGGGGCTGATTGAAAGGTGAGAGTGGGGACGTCTTGAGGGGCTTCTCCAGACCCCTAGGGGGCAGACGGAGTCAGCTGCCGGAGGTGCGGGGGCGGAGAAAGGGTGGGGACCGGCCCCACGAGGGGCGATGCGGTAGCTGCAGCGGCCGCAGGAGTTTCCCACAATGCAGCGCGGCGCGCTGTCCCCGGTGCTGATGCTCAGCGCTGCCCCGGAGCCTCCGCCGCGCCCACCTCCCGCGCTCTCGCCGCCGGGCCCGGGCTCCCGCCATGGCTCAGCTCGGCCCGGTGCTGCCCCGGAGCCGTCGGGGGCCCTGGGCGCGGCGCTCGACAGCAGCCTGCGGGCCGCCGTGGCGTTCAAGGCGGAGGGCCAGCGCTGTTACCGCGAGAAGAAGTTCCGGGAAGCCATCGGCAAGTACCACCGGGCACTGCTGCAACTGAAGGCGGCGCAGGGGGCCCGCCCTGGCGGCCTGCCCGCCCCCGCCCCCGCCCCTGGGCCCGCCACCAGCCCGGGGCCCGCCCGCCTCAGCGAGGAGCAGCGGCGCCTGGTGGAGAACACGGAGGTGGAGTGTTACGACTCCCTCACGGGTACGGGGCCGTCGGGGGGCGTAGAGGGGCACGTGTGGAGGGGGCTGGAGGCTTGAAGGGGCCGGGGCTGTGGCCGGGGAGGAGACCTCAGATCGGTCAGGGCGAGGGCTGGGGATGTAGGGACCACAGAGTCTCCTGATAGAGGGCCCTGGGTGCAGCAAATGAGCTTTGACCCGGGTCTTCAGCCCCCGTGTCCTCTGAGTCCTTCTTTCCTGCCACCGGCGAACCTAAAGTGAGCAAAGTCTACCCTGGCTCAGCCATTCAGGGCCCCAGCTCTCACCTCGGCGCTTAAGACTCTTGGCTACTGAAACTGCCCCGCTAATCACCCGAGCGCTCCTGGGCGTGTCTTTGGCGCCCTCTGGCGGCGGCGCAGATTGAGTCTATTCTTACTGGTCAGCAGATTGGCGCCTCCTGCTGGTCTGAGCAATCGATCCTTTGGGCTGGGCTCAGCTCTGGGGCAGGGCAGTGGTTCCCTGCAGGCTAAGCCAGGCTCCTGGAGTTCAGGCAGAGTCTGGCGATGCCGCTAGGCTCTGAGAGTCCGGGCCGGTGTCCCCACAGCTTGCCTGCTGCAGTCAGAGCTGGTGAACTATGAGCGTGTGCGCGAATACTGTCTCAAGGTGCTGGAGAAGCAGCAGGGCAACTTCAAGGCCACCTACCGCGCTGGCATAGCCTTCTACCACCTGGGTGACTACCCCCGCGCGCTGCGCTACCTGCAGGAGGCCCGAAGCCGGGAGCCCACAGGTGAGGGGTGGGGCGAGGGCAGGGCTGAGGGATGGATTCCGGCCGGAAAGGGAGACAGAGCCGAGAGGACAGGGACAAGGACTGTCTCCAGAGGGGATAATGATAGTACCTTATACATAGAAGAGGATTAAGGAAAGTGGTTGTAATCGTGGTGTATCTTAAACATGTGGCTGAGTGTGTAGGTATTTAAAGTAAGTACCTATGAGGGGACCAGGGCAGGGAAGCAGAATGCTCCTGTCACAGAACTGCCTCCAGAAATACACTGTTCTCTCTCTCCGACTCCCCCTGCATCCACCTGCTCCTTCCATGCCATTCACCCCCGCTCGCTCGTTCAGCCATCACCCCCCGGCCTTGCACCTGTCCACTCACCAGCATTCTAAGCCTAGCCCAGCCACCCTCATCCGTTCAGTCCCCGACCCAGCCAGGACATCTGCCGTTCACCTCCCCGGCTGTTAGCTGTCCACCCATCCGCCCTCATCTCCTTCACTATCCCCCACTCAGCTGCTTGCTCACTCATCCATTCTGACACTCACCTGTTCGCTCATACGCTCACCCAGCCACCACTGGGGAGCCCTTGCTGGTGGCGGACCCCATGAGGCAATGACAGGAATTGGGGGTGGGGTGGCAGCAGAGCCTGTTCCTAGCCCCTGGGAGATCCCAGGCAGCGTGTGTGTGTGTGTGTGTGTGTGAGTGTAGGCTGAACACCCACTGTTCATAAATAAGAGCAAAAGGCAGGGTTTGTTTGCCCGTCCAGTGGTTTCGCGAGCAGGCCCTTGCAGATGCCGTGGGAGGACGCCTGGACATGGGGCAGGAGGCTGAGAGGCAGCTTTCCTGGCGAGGGCAGGGCACAGATGTGGGGGACAGCTCCACTCTGCTGTGACAGGGCTCTGGCGGTTCCAGCCGTGCCAGGCGTGGTGCATGGAGGGAGAAAAGGGTGAGCGGGAACACCCTTGGCCAGGTGGGGGGAAGGCTCTGGGGAGCCACTGAAGACTGGCGACAATAGGGGTGTGAGCCGAGGTGGCGTGGATGCCACCCGCTGCCCTAGGACACCCGATAACGCCTGAACACCGGCCCTGCAGACACCAATGTCCTCCGCTACATCCAGCTGACTCAGCTGAAGATGAGCCGGTGCAGCCTCCAGCGGGAAGACAGTGCGGCCGCGGCCCGGACTCGGGATGCGATTGGCTGAGGCCACCCGGGGGACCCGCCCTCTCCCCACCCCACCATGTAACTGCCCTCTGGCTCACGCGTTCCGTGGTAAAGCACTTGTCACTGGTGACCATAACCTTTCTGTGTGGTGGTCTTGTGGGGACCAGGAGGGGACACGAGCCTGGGCCTCAGCCCTAGGTCTCAGACACTCAGAGATGGCTCTGGAAGGAGAATGGGGTGTGGCCTGGGCCGGGACAGACACACAGCCAAGTGCAGTAGGGGGCAGGGGTCACCTTTAATGCTGCCTCTGTGCCAAATTCTCATGATGCCCTGTCCCTGAGTATCCCTGCCCACCCTCCCCCCTCGCTGCAGGTACAAAGGAATAAATTAAGTGGCTCCCTCCCCCCCTTCCCCAATACATAGTCTCCTGCCCAGGGCCTCCCCCGCCTCGTGGCTCGGGGGGCTGGGCGAGGCCTGGGGGCTACATTCATGAGCAGGCGGGCGCGGCGGGCAGGCCTCAGTGGGAGCCGCGGCCCCCGCACAGGGGCACAGTGCTGTCCTGGCTCTGCCCCTCCATGTCCATGTCGAGCAGCGTGGGCTGCACGCCGGGCGGCCCGGGGCTCTCCGGAGTGTCCGGCCTGCTGGGCGGCGAGAGGCTCAGCATCTGGCTGAAGGAGACCAGTTTCCAGGGGTCCAGGCGGGGGCGGCTGGCAGCCGGCCGGGGCCGCGGGGCAAAGGTCAGGGTGGTGGGACGGCCGGGGAAGTCGGGAGGCCGGCGGCGGGTCGGGAACAGGGCCTGGGGGTCGGGCAGGCGGGGGATGTCCAGGGGGTCTCGAGGGCCTGAGGAGAAAGAATCATGAGGTGAGTGGGGTGGGGCAGAGGGTGCTTCACACGAGGATCGGGGCTTCTCTGCAGAGCCCTGCTTTTCCGGGAGGGTTGTTGCCGGCAGCCTATCCCCGTGGGGCCTGCAGCTCAGCCCCGGGCACTGTCAATGGCTCACTCGGCCCCTGAGCCTCTGGCAAGTTCCTTCACCTTCCACAGCCCGTAGGCTTGCTGCCTGTCAGCCAGAGACCTTATCACTCCTGAGTGCTAACACTGGGCGAGTTCACACGTAGACCCTACAGTCCGTACCCCCAAGACACGCATACCAAGGTGTCTACGTATAAAAACCAAACCGAACCCACTGCCAGTGAGTTGATTCCGACTCATCTCGACTCCCTTGGGGTTTCCAAAGCGATAAATCTTTACAGAAAGAGATTGCCCCATCATCATAGGTGAAAGTTGGCAGTTCAAACCCACCAGTCGCTCCGCGGGAAGATAATGAGGCAATCAACTTCCAAAAACATTTACAGAAAACCAAACCCACTGCCAGCAAGTCGATTCCAACTCATAGCGATCCCCTTTGGGTTTCCGAGGTGGTAAATCTTTACGGAAGTAGATGCCTAGTCTTCCTTCTGCAGAGTGTGTGTGTGTGTATACATATATAGTTTATATAATGGCACATGTTTATATGTCCCCCTTACTCTGGTGGTGTAGTGCTTAAGGCGTTTGACTGCTAACCGGAAGGATGGCGGTTCAAACCCACCAGCCACTCCTCGGAAGGAAGACTGGGTGATCTACTTCCGCAGAGATACTGCCTCGGAAACCCAAGGAGGGGTCGCTGTGAGTCGCGATGCTCAGTGGCAGTGAGCAGAGTTAGGCGTGGCCCCGTCTCTGATGGGGGATATCGGCGCCTGACTATAAAGGTGAGAAGTCAGTCAAACAATGACGCGTCCAAGAACGCAGCGCAGTTCATGACCGGAAGCACACACAGCAGTGCCTGGCACACCGGGGGTGTCATCAGCCATGGTGATTACGCAGCTGCTAGGGGGCAGACGGAGACCAGAGTCCACCAGGCGGTGCCTGGAGGAAAGGCCTGGCAACCTCCGTCTGAGGAATCGGCCCCTGGAGCCCGTGACGCACGAGGGTTCACTGACTCCCAAGGGGTCCCCGTGAGTCCTGCTCAACAGCAACTGGGGGTGGTGACTTTTGTTGATGTTCACCTCACCTGTCTGGCCCTTTGTGGACACTAGCGTTGCCACCGGGGTCTCAGTCCCTGGGGGACCCACAGCACGCCCAGCAGTGACGGCCAGAGGGACACAGAGACAGTCCTTTCTCTATGCCAACCAGGAGGCGGCCACCTGGTACCAGGTGGGTTGAGGCTGGGTTTGGACACTGGACCTCGGCTGGGGGCCCCTCACTCACCAGGGCCGTGGGCTGCGGCTTCAGACGCCCCCCACTGTCCCAGCGCTCCATCCGAGGGTGTCCGCCGGTGTCCACGGCTCACGGCGCGCGCAGCCGTGACGTGGGTGGGCGTGAGCGACTGGCGGGGGTCCTTCTTGAAGCTCTCCAGCTCTAGGTCCACCAGGGGGTTGGTGCTGGGCGAGGGCGTGGGCGCAGGGGGAGAGGGCGGTGGGGAGGGCGCGGCCGGCGCCGCCTCGTCGCTGTCGGAGCGCAGCAGCGAGCGCGTGGAGTTGCAGTCCGACACTGACGACAGCGACACGAGGGTGGCGGAGGACACAAGGCCCGGGCCAGGGGCCGCGTCGTCGCGACGGCCCGGGTGGCGTCCGGGGGAGCTGAGGCCGCGGGGGAAGCGGCCGGCGCGAGGGAAGAGGCCATCGAGCCAGCGCCGCTGCTCCTCGCAGTCGGCGGCGCGCGCCTCGGCGACATCGGCGCCCAGGCCCACGGCGCCCAGCAACGTGGCGCAGCCGAGCAGGGCGAGTTCGCAGCGCCGCCGCGCGGCGTGCACCGTGCGCGCAGGGGGCGTGGTCCCCGGGGAAGGCTCGGGCGGCAGAGGCACCGAGAGGTAGGACTGGGTGGTGTAGGGCGAAGGGGACACGCTGCCGCTTCCATCCGCCTCTGCGAACTCCTCTGCAGAGGAAAGGGGGTCACTCGACTCTGGGCTTGGCCTCTTGCCCTGGAGACTTGGAGGATGCCCCGATGACCGCTGGGACAGCAACACCACCACCTCCCACGAAGCATTATTCTCGAATCTTCCTCTCCCAGAAGTTCCCTCTTACCCCTGGGAATGACCCCCACACCCGAGGAACGACTGTCCCCTTTTCCTCGGAACGCTCGGTGAACCTCAGGGGACCTCCCCTGTCCCCATCAGCGACTGCCCAATGGCTCACTCCTTTGCCCACAGTATGCTGCCCTGTGGCCTCGGGGCATCCCCTTCTCCTCCCTCAGCAGGGGCCCTCACCCCCTTACCCATCTCGTTGAGGCTGGCGAAGCCAGGAGCGATGGGGGTGTGTTTGGGGGACTTGCCCAGGTTGGGGGCACTTGATGACCACTGTTTGCTGCCTTCCCCCAGGGCCTTCAGCCTGCAGGGGGCAGTGAGATGGGGGTGGGTGTCAGCCACATGGCTGCCTTGGGCCTGATGAAGGAGGGGGCACAGGGTGTGTGTGTGTTGGGGGGTCCCAGCCGCTGCCAATACCTCTCCTCTCCGCCCAGCCGCTCCTTCTGTAAGGTTGAGCTGGGCCCCCACGTCCGGCCCTTCTTCTTGCCTCCCACCAGTTCTTCCTTCTTTGGGGGCCCACTGCGGCCCCATGTCCCACTGCCGCCACCGCTGCCACTGCCACAGCCACTGTCCACAGGGGTCACTGGGTGGGGAAAGGCCGCTTGGTTTCTGGGTGTTGGAGAGTCGCCCCAGCTGGCTTGAACCCACCCTCCCTGGAGAGCCCAGGATTCTAAGGCCAGTCAAGCGCCTTCCCTGCTAGGACCCTTCCACACCATCCCCTGCCGTCAGGGCTCCACCCCAGCTCAGCAGCCTCACCTCCCAGGCCCTTCACAAGCCATTTCCTGCCAGTTTCTTTAGCCTCGTCTGTCATCACTCCTCACAGCCTAACCCTTCGACCATTCAGTTACTTCTCAGTTACTGACACTCCTGGGGTCACCAGGAGTGGGGCGCTGACTTGATGACAACGTTTCTGTCCTGAGTGCTGCTGTAGGTGCCGGGAAGACAGCAGCGGACAAGACAGACAGACGCCCTGCTTGTGTGGGGTTTATGTCTTAGTGGGTGGAGACAGACAAAAAGCCCCGTCCTGATAGAGCTATAGCTGTGGGCTGTTAGCAGGGGACTCACTGGGGGATCACAGAACAGGTGAGGGGCCGGGTCAGGGAAGACATCTTGGGGTGCACACTGGTGAGGCAGGGAGCCACAGAGACAGTGAAGGAGAAGAGGGAGCAGTGAACGCCAAGGCCTGTGGCCGACCTTTCTGGAGCGCCCCGGAAGAGCCGCAGGTGTGGGGCAGGGAGTGAAGGCCAGGAGCACACAGTGCGTGTCGGAGACGCCCAGGCAGGCGCCGTGACACCTCCCGTGCCTCCGCACAGGCTGTTCCCCTCACCTGCAATTCCGTTCCCTTTTGGGCCTGGCTGACCTTTCGCCCTTAAGCCTCCAGCTGGGAGTGGGCAGTTCCCTTCAGCCAGCTGTTCTCCCTTCTGTTCCGACCGCACTGGTAGGAACTGGCACCAAAACAACCCAAACCAAACCCACCACCACTGAGTCGATTCCGACTCAAAGAGACCCCACTGGGTTTCTGAGGCAGTAAATGTTTACGGAAGTAGATTGTCCAGTCTTCCTTCCGAGGAGGTTTGAACGGCCAGCCTTCTGGTCAGCAGTCAGATGCCTTTAGGCACAGCGCCACCAGAGCTCCTGGTAAGGAAACTGCAAACCAAACTCCCTGATTCTGACTCATAGTGACCCCCACTGGGTTTCCAAGGCTATAAATCTTTATGGAAGCAGACTGCCTCATCTTTATCCCATGGAGCACCTGGTGGGCTCGAACCACCAACCTTTTTGGTTAGCAGCCAAATGCCGTAACCACTCACCACCAGGGCTCCTTACACTGGAACAGTATCCTGATCATAGTATAGACTACACTGCAAGCTTGTGATTGGCCTCCGAGGGCCCCACTAGACTGACCTCCTGGGCCTGATCCCACCAGGTGGCTGGGTAGAGGGGCTGAGTGACGGGGTGCACTGACTGGGGAGGTGGTGTTGCCTCCTTCAGTCCATCTCTAAACCCCAAGAGCTTTTCCTCCACCACGGAGTCCCCATCTGTGGCTTTGTCCCCCACCCTGATCCCACCCCCTCATCCCACCGGTTCCTACAACGTGGACCCCACACAGCAGCAGAGGGAAGGGGCAGTTGGATCGTGTCACTGCCCTCCTCAGAGCCCCGCAGGGTCTTCCCAAACTCCGCACCCTGGCTTACGAGGTCCGCTGTGACCTGGGCCCTGACCACGAACCCCCGCACACACTGCTGCGGTCAAGTTGCCCGTCCTGGCGACACACAGCCCTCACCTGTGTCCACCTCAGGGCCTCCGCCCATCTGCCCCCTCTGCCGAGGACCCTATACCCTCTGATCTCACGCTAGCCCCTTACCATACAGGTCCCTGTTCAAACCTCAGCTCCTCGGAGGAGCCTCAACAGTCACCGTTCTCTTTTATTCCCTTCTTTGGTTTCGTCTACGTGCCAACCACTCTGGAAAATATCCTGCTTACTGGTTTACCTGTTTACGGTCTGTCTCCCAGATGGGAATGGGGGAAGGGACCATGCTGTTTTGTTGCCCACTGTACGGGGAGAGGCACGTACTCCAGGAAGTTTGTTGACTGACTGACCGGTTGCGGGGCTGGGGGACACTCACAGCGAATGGCCCTCAGCCGGGGGATGATGCTGGGGCTGGCGGGGGGGCTGGCCCCGTCGGATCCTTTCCTCTTGTCCAGAGTTGGAGAGGCCTGGACGGTGATCTTATGCTCAAAGCCTGCAAAGGAAGGGCGACTTCCCTCAGCAAATCCTTCCCCCTCCCTGTGGAAGTGCAGAAGGGATGCTCGCGTGGGAACACCACCGTGCTGCATCCCGCCCAGTGCACCAGCCTCCAGGCAGGCCCCAGACCCACAGCAGCAGCAGCAATGGCAGGCCTGGTGGAACGGCCGGTTCCTGGCCCACCTGAGCCAGCACCTCCAGGGGGAGGCCCAGGGTTGACCTGTTTCCACAAGCCCTCCAGGGGCCTCGCATGATACCCTCCCTGATGGAGGGAGAAGCCCTCCCTGATGCACTAGGGCTCCAGGCCTGCCATCCCTCATGGATCATTAGCCATAGGTGGTCACTGAGCCCTGACATGAAGCTGGGGTGACTGAGGGACTGGACTTGAAATGGTACTGAACTTCAATCAATTTGAACTTAAAAGCTGATACTCTGTTCAGTTAGTGGAGGCATTTAAGTGTCTTTGGGGTAACTTGGGTGTGTGTACCCCCTGTGCCAGCTGCAGAAGTTGTGAGATCTAGAGCCAGGTCAAGGACTTCGATGAAGGTGGAGTGTGAGACGCACTGGAAATATAACATGCACACTGGATCTCACGGACGTAGGTTTTTAAAAAAAAGGTGAAAGGTCTCAACAATTTTTTTTGTATTGATTACACATGAAATAACATTTTGAGTCTATTGGGTTAAATAAATTATTAAAATTAACTTCACCTGTTCCTTGACATAAAGGTTTTCCACATGGCTCCTAGAAATTTACACATGGCTCCTAGAAACTTACAACGAGGCATGTGGTCTGTATGTGTTTCTGTTGGGCGGTGCTGCTGTAGGCCCTGAGAGGCAATGGCTTACAGCGGCACAGAGAGACGCCGCCCAGACATTATGGATGGATACCCGCCCCCCCCCACCTTTGTTTAAAAAAAACAAAAACCAATGAGTCTGAACCCAATTAAGCCTTGAGAGCCCAATACTAGGCTGATTCCCTATGGTGCTGTTCTACTCTGTCCTTTAGCGCTGTGAGTCCGATGGACTCCAGGGCACTGGGTTTGGTTTGGGCTTTGCTTCCGTGAAGACTGACAGCCTGGGAAACCCTATGGGGCTGTTCTACTCTGTCCTCTAGGGGCGCTGTGAGTCAGAATCGACTTGACTTGAAGGGAGTGAGTTTAACCAGCAGCCTCCGGGGGATGCTCAGGGGTGGGTTAAGGCTAGGACACTCCCGGCGGCCCCCCGGGGATGCTCGGGGTGGGCAGGTACCGGAGGGCAGGCTGATGTGGCTGCTGCCTTCCCGCAGCCTGAGCAGGCGGCTGCGCTTGAAGTTGCCCTTGCGCTTGCGCACGCGGGGCTTCTCCTGGCTCAGCTGGCACATGAGCAGGTGCAGCTCGCGCTCCACAATGTCCATCTCGCGCTCTGCCAGCTCCTGCTCCCGCCGCCGCAGCTGCTCCTCCTGGAAGCGCTGCTCCTGCGCCGCCCGCAGCAGCTCCTCCTCTCGGCTCCGGAGCTCCTGAGGAGGAGGTGCAGTGGGTGGGGGGAGGGCGGGGTGGGCTCAGCTGGGCGGGGCCCTGCGAGTGAGCCCGGGGACACGCGCTGCGGGGCAAGCTGGGGTCAAGGTCCAGCTCACACTTCACCAGCCAAGTTGGGTGCCAGGGCAGGGGGCTGTGTTAGTCTGAAGAAAGGGGTTCCTTTTCTCTCCCCCCCATTTATTTTCCAAAAGGTGCTCTCGTAGCACAGTGCCTAAGGCATTTGACTGCTAACCAGAAGGTTGGCGGTTCAAACCCACCAGCTGTTCCACAGAAGGAAGATGGGGCAGTCTACTTCCATAAAGATTTACTGCCTCAGAAACCCAATGGAGGGTCGCTATAAGTTGGAATCAACTTGATGGCAGTGAGTTTTTTTCTTTTTTAAACTTAACTTTTCATTTAAGAATAGTTCAAATGTCCACAAGAGCAGAGAACAGTGAGTCCCCATGTACCCATCATCCAACTTCAACAATTAACTACACTTTGCAAATCTTGTTTCATTTATCCCCCTTCTTCTTCCCTCCTTCCCTTCATTGCTGCAGTAGAATTTTAAAGCCCATCTCAGACATCATGCAGTATCACCTGTAAGTACTTCAATGCAGGGTGCCTTTTTCTTACTAATCCAACAGGAGAGCTGTCATTTCTTAATAGGCAAAAAAGGCTCACTGGCCTTGCATGGATTCAGAGACTAGAGCTCAGGGGAAGGGATCTTCTCCCTCCCTCCCACCTCGTCCCCACCTTCTCCTTGGTGCGGAGGTCATCGAACATGTGCTGTATCTCCAGCTTCCAGTCTTCCTGCAGCGAGTGGAAGGACTCCAGTGGCATCTGGAACAGGGCTGACTGTTCAATGACTTCCAGCCGCTTCAAGATGCTGCTGAAGTCTGGCCGCCCGTGGGGCTCTGGGTCCCAGCACTCTGGGGTGGAGGGGGAGGACAGTGGTGGGGCTTGGGGTGGGCAGTGGTCATGCTGTAGGGAATTGGCCTGCTCAGCAGGAAGCAAGACCTCAGGGAACTGTGGACAGACTGCTTTCGCACAGCTGGGGAAGGACGCAGAGTCAAGCTCCTGGCCGTACTACTTCATTCAGTGGAGAGAAACCCAAGGGCCTTCTCCCCAAGGAGGGACTTGAACCAACAATCAGGGAATCTCTAGGGCCAATGACTCCTAATGGGCTGCCCTTAAGAGCTGTGGGTCTGGCAGAACAAGGGTCTGAGGGGCCCCTGGGGCCAACCGTGGGGGAACTCTTCATGGTCTGAGAGGTTCCAAGCCCTTCTCTCTCAATCCCGGGTCCCTGGGATGGCTGGGTTCATAAAGATAAGAGGTCTGGGCCTGAGGAATCCTGCTACCTCAAACTAAGCCTACCCACTCCACAGGGCCCTTGCTCACCCTCCAGTAGGCGGGCAAAGGGCTCAGGGCATGTGGAAGGGATGGGCAGCGTCAGCTTGTTCATAGCCACTCCATAGGCCACGGCCAAGGCGTCGATTTCGCGGTAGGGGACCTCACCCGTCAGTAGCTCCCAGAGCAGTACTCCAAAGCTGCAGGTGGAGGAGAGGGAGGGTGAAGCTCGGCCTCCCCCAGGCCTTACCTACACTCCAGCCTTGCCCCCCTCCCACGGGAGGCCTCCCCAACCCCAAAACTCACTCCAGGTGGATGAGGCCCCAAGAACTTGATTTGACCTTCAGTGGCCAAGAGTTCTCTGATATCTCTCGTCCCTCGGTCTTGCCGGAAAACCTTTAGATAGTCCTCTGTGCCTACTGGGCAAACCCACTCTGCTTAGTCCCAACCTTTGATGACTGAGCAGTTTTGCTTCTCCACGCTCTCACCCAATACCAAGCCCTACTCCAGCTGGCAGCCACACTGAACAAATGAACGAGCCCTGTCCTTCCTAACCTCTGCTCTTTGCACATGCTGTTCCTTTTGTCTAGAGCACTCTTCCTTTTGAGTAACTATTTGTCCTCTAAGCCTCAAGTGCCCCTCTGCCAGGAAGTATTCCTTAATCCCACAGCCTCCAAAGCTGGGTTAGAGGACCTTCGGAGGCACTTGCCTCTGAAGAAAAACATGTCAGTGCTATTTAATGTGTATCGAGCACTCCTTCTAGGCACCACGTAGGCACTCTCAGTGATCCTCACAAGGGTTTGTGAAGCAGAAAGTATGGTGTAGCCCCAGTTTGTCTGGTGAGCAGGTGTAGGCTCAGAGAGGTTAAACGGCTTGCCCAAGGTCACACAGCTAGTCAGCGAGGGAGCCACATCTGGAATCAGAGCTGCCTGACGCCCATGACAGAGCTCTTAAAGGCTACATAATACCAAAGTGTACATCACTGAGCTACAATCACTGCGTGTCCGTCTTCCCTGGTAAGCTGTGCATCCTTCCGGAACCAGCGCACCATTCTGTGCTGTGCCTAACATGCAGCAGATACCTGTTCTCCATCAACATCTACTCATTTATTCATTCAACACATGCTTATTGAGCACCTACTGTGCCAGGCACTGGTGATATGGCAGTGGACAAGACAGATAAAACTCCTGCATAACTGTGTGCCAGGCACTGGTGACACGGCAGTGGACAAGACAGATAAAACTCCTGCCCTTATGCAGCTGGCAGTCTCCTCCTCTTGACCAGTAACAGCCCTGGAATGTGAGCTGGGCACATGCTGTCTCAAGGGATTTCCCATCCTCCTTTGCAGCTACGTGTGGCCACATGACTATTCTGACCAGTGGCGTGGAGGAGGATGTGTCCAACTAACTTCTAGGAAGTGTCCTTAAAAACGACTGCTCTTTTCTCCTTCCTACTTGTTGGAACCCGTGAATAAAAAAGCTGGAGCTCAAGCCGCCAGATTACACCGTGCGGTGATGGAGGAAAATAAGTAGTTTCCACCTGGAGGTGGCATATCTCTCCATGTCCCTGGAAGCCTGGGGGACTGAGTGTGTCTGGGAGTGCTACAGACATCGGTGGCCAGGAGCCACGGGCACTTAGCATCCAGAGTACAGGGTGGGACCATGGAAGGAAGACCCATCCTGCCCAAGGTCAACCACACCCTGTTCAGGACCCCGACTGGGATCCAGGGGCACCCTGTCAGTCCTGGGCTTTTCATGAGAGAAACAGTGCCAGTCTTGTTCTTATTTTGGGTTTTCTGTTCCTTGCGGCTGAAATAAAGCCCCAATAAATGTTTGGTACCAAAAACGGATGCTTGCTTGTAAAGCTGGTCAGAACTTCTCCCAAAGGGCTATTCTGCTCTAGTTTGAGCCAGAAACTTCCGGTCGGATTTGTCTCTGGGCAAACCCATTAATTTGCTGCTTGGTCCTTCTGGAGCCTTGGCTGGGGATGGACAGGGATAGTAAGTAGGGAGGCCTTGGGGTGTGACGTTTTCTCTGCCACCATCGACAGCCTCATAGCCTCCTGCCTCCTTGCCTGTCCCCTACGGCCCCTCCTCCGCACACAGCCGAGGGGACTTCAGAATGCTCAGCCAGCTAGTGCCACTGGTGACTGCCTCTGCTGGCTTCCCAGCGCACTGCGGATAAAGCCCGAAGCCCGTTCCCTCACGGCCAAGACCCTCCGGTCCTCTCTCCTACGTCGTTTCCTCCCTGTTCCTGTTTCCCTGCTCGGCTCTGGCCATGCGGCCTCCTTGCTGCTTCTGGAATGCACCACACTTGCTCTCACTCGAGGCCTCGGAGGTGGCAGCTCCCTCTGACCGGGAGGCGCCTGCCCTCAGACTCTGTGTGGCTGGCTCCTTGCCACTAACTCAACTAGAGTACTGCTTCTCAGAAAAGCCTTCCTGCATCACCCAACCCAACCCAAAGCAGCCTCCGGTTCCTCTCCAAACTCCCAGTTCCTTACCTTATCTAAGACTTTTTCTGGTGTATCTCCTTATCTTGTAAAATTCTTGATTTTCTTAAAAAAGGCTGTTTCAGCTTCTTGTGTATTTACTTACTATCCCCGAGGGCAGGAAGCATTGTCTATTTCTGTTCACTGCTGCAACCCCAGAACCCAGCATGAATGAATGGCCTCAGTTTCCTGGTTTGACCAATGGGGGCAGCCTCCTGGACGGTTCCTGGGGGCCTGTTAGTGCTGACAGCCTACCTGTGGATCTTGGGAATTTTTGCCTTCATTCCAAGTCACTCCTCAGCTGTTATTTCCACCAGCAGAGGACATAACTGCTCTGGCCCTTATGTGCTGTCTGACCTTGGCAGCCGGTCCCTTTGCCAGGTGGCCAAGATCCTGGCTGCAGTGGAGGCTGCCCCGCCCCCTGGGTCCTTGGGCCCCACCCACCCTCCTCCTGCTTTCAGGAGGCCGCCCCTCAGCACCTCCAGACATCACTGCTTTTGGAGAAGAGGGAGAGGCGGATGACCTCCGGGGCCATCCAGGCGTAAGTCCCCGCGGCACTCATCTTGGTGGTCTTGTGCCACTCACGGGCGAGGCCGAAGTCTGTGATCTTGAGCACCGTGTCTGCGAGGTTGTGGTTCTCAATGGCCTCCAGGATCAGGACTGTGGACGGGGAGAGAAGTGGGTCAGTCCAGACCCGCTGGGCTGCAGACCTAGCCACTCGGACGCGTCCTCTGCCCCGACTCTGCCTCAGCTCCTTTCCCAGCCTGGAACCCCCATGTCTTTCCATGTTGGGGGGGAGCCTCCCCTGGGTCCCCTACCCTCCTGACTCCATCATGGGCTATCGTGAGCCCAGTGAGGTCACCAGCTGTGGCCTTGGCCCTCCTTGGTCCAGGCCTTGAATTCCCAGTCACCCCAAAAGTGCAAACTGTAAACCACAAGCATGGTTTCCTTTCATCTTTGTCACCCCATGTGGTAGACTGAAGGAGCTCTGGTGATATAGTGTCTAAGGCATTTGACTGCTAACCGGAAGGTTGATGGTTCAAATCCACCGCCACTCTGCAGAAGGAAGATAGGGCAATCTACTTCTGTAAAGTAAGTAGAGATTTACTGCCTCAGAAACCCAATGGGGGTTGCTATGAGTTGGAATCAACTGGATGGCAGTGAGTTTGTGTTTTGGTTGTTTTGTTGGTGGTGGATTGCACAAATGGCCCCAGCTCTTCACACTAAGGGGGCACAGTGGGCTTCTCTACCCCTTGACTTTGGGTTGGTCACGTGACTTGCTTTGGCCAATAGAGTGAGGCGGGAGTGACTGAGTACCGGCTCTGAGCCCAGGCCTCAGGAGACCACAAGCGGGTCTGCTTGCCCTCTTGTGTTTCTGTCGCCAAGAGAACCTGCCTTGGTTCACCTGGTGGCCCGGGAAGAGGAGAGACTTAGCACAGAGCCTGGCTGAAATCAGCTTACCCTCCAGCCACCCCAAAACTATATGAGCAGTAACAGCCCATTACTGTTTCATCCTACTGAGATTTGGGGTTGGTTTGTTAAATGGCAGAAGCTGACTGATACGTCCCTCAAAGAACTCAATGGTCCCAGTTTATCTGCTGCCGAGGGTTATCACCAAGACTAACAGTAATCACGGCTAATGCTTATCAGGGCTCTATTACATGCCAAGGTCTGGGCTAACCCTTTACGGATGGTAAAGGCGCTTGGCTACTCCCAGAGGTGCCTCGGAAGGAAGGTCTGGCAATCGACTGAAAAACCGGCCACTGAAACCCCGTGCAGCAGAGTCTGTGGGGCACAGCTCTATCCTGACAGCCGTGGGGTCGCCACAGTCCAGGCTGAGCCGACAGCAGCTGGCTGAATGCCTTTCATGAACGAATCACAAGCACCTGTTTCCCTGCCTAGGAAACCGAGGCTCTGAGAACTGAGCGAGAAAAGGGCGGGGCAAGAGGCGTGAACTAGTTCTGTCATCAGAGCCCGGTGGTCCCCTAACTGCTGATATTCCAGCACCTCCCACCAGAGGCCTCGAATGTAGAGTGTGGCTCGGCTTTGAAACCTGGCTCTGCCACTTACTACCTGCACAGTCTGGTATCTTTTTTTACCCAGAACCTTGCTTTTCTGTTAATGAGGACAGCCGTATTTACTTCAAAAGGCTTTTGTCAAGATTTATTGCCTGAGCATAGTTGAAACCAAAAACCAAACTCACTGCCATCAAGTTGATTCCGACTCATAGTGACCCCCATTCAGTTTCTAAGGCTGTAAATCTTTGTGGAAGCAGACTGCCTCATCTTTCTCCCATGGAGTGGCTGGTGGGTTCGAACCCCTGACTTTTTGGTTAGCAGCCAAATGCCTTAACCACGACACAGCCAGAGTTCCTTGAACAACAACAACAACAAACCCAAACTCACTGCCGTTGAGTCGGGTCTGACTCATAGCAACCCCTCCTTGGGTTTCTAAGGTGGTATCACTATGGAAGTAATTGCCCAATTTTCCTTCCGAGGAGTGGCTTGTGGGTTTGAACCGCCAGCCTGTTGGTTAGCAGTCAAATGCCTTAGGCACTACGCCACCAGAGCTCCCTCCTTGAGCATAGTTAGGTCTTTTCAAAGTTAGCTACTACTGTTAGTGCAATGTCTCCAAGGAGATGGTCTATGTCTCATCTTCATCTTTCACCATCCCTGGTTCTTTCCCCACTAAGAAGAAGAATGAAGCAATTCTGTTATCATGCCATCAGGCAGATGAAGAAACTGAGGGTTAGACAGATCAGTAAACTCCCCAAGGCCATGCCATTAGGAATCCTGCTCATTCTTACAGCTGGGAGGAAAATGGTGATGCATTGCCAAAGACATTTGACTGCTAACTGGAAGGTTGGTGGTTCAAACCTACCAGCCGCTCCACGGAAGGCAGACTGGGCAATTTACTTCCTCAAAGAATTGCCGCCTCGGAAACCCAATGGGGGTTGCTGAGTGGGACTTAACTCGGTGGCAGAGGGTTTGGTCTGCTTTTTGGCTTTGGAAGCCTCCTGGGCCCTCCCAGCCTGTGACTGCACCACCCCTCCCTGTGTGGTGACCCTGTGCTGGATGGAACGCCCCATGGTCTTAACACTTTACTTCTGTGTTTATTTTAGGCTAGGCCGAAATCAAAATATGTATCTGATCATGTCAGTCCCTGCTTAAAACTCTCGAATGGCTTCCACGCCACTGAATAAAGTATCCCGGGTCCTCACCGTGGCCCCTGGGCCCCGTGGACCCAGCCCTGGCACCTTTCCGACCGCACCTCCTTCCACCTCTGTCCCACTCCTGCCCCACCTCCAGCAAGGCTAGCACATTCCCACCTCAGGGCCTGCGTCCGTGCCTTTCCCACTTTCCCCAGCTCTTTGTAAGGCTGGGTCCTCTCTGCTCTGGTCTCTGCTCAGACGCTGCCTTCCCTGGTCCCCCAACCTAAAACTGCGCCCTCTGCTCCATCCTCAACTGGCTGGATTTTCTTCAGAGCCCCTGTCTGAAGTGTTGGTATGTATGGATGGATGGATGGCTGGACCTTGTCTCTGTTCACTAGGATGTAAGTTCCTTAAGGGTGGAATCTAGCCTTGCTCATGTCTGTAATCCCAGAGCCTAAGACAGTGCCCAGAACCTCCAACCAAACTCACTACCACCAAGTTGATTCCGAGGCATAGTGACCCCCATTGGGTTTCCAAGGCTGTAAATCTTTACAGAAGCAGACTGCCTCATCTTTCTTCCATGGAACACTGGTGGGTTCAAACCATTGACCTTTATGGTTAGCACTCAAATGCCTGAACTAGTACACCACCAGGGGAGCTCTGGTAGCGTAGTGCCTAGGGCACTTGACCGCTAACCAGAAGGCTGGCCATTCGAACCCACCAGCCACTCCTCGGAAGGAAAGTTGGGCAATCTACTTCTGTAGTGATACCACCTCGGAAACCCAAGGAGGGGTCGCTATGAGTCGGGTCTGACTCCACGGCACATACAACAGTCCACCACCAGAGTGCCTTGCCTGCAACCTACCAAGTGCTTAAGACTCAAATCAAAGAGTGGCATCAGGTGAGTGGCTCCTTGGGGGAGGGTCAAAGTGGGAAGTTGTATCTTCCCATGGAACAGTCCCACGGCCCCAGCAGGAAGCCCCGGCCTCCAGTGCCCGCCAGCCTTTTGTGAAGGTGGCACTGGCTACAGAAAAACTTGTGAGTACATGAAGGCCCTCTACCCGGCCTGCTGGCTGTGAATCAGCTGGAGTGAGGCCTCGGCCTTCAAAAGGGGTATGCATGCTGTGTGTGTGTGTGTGTGTGTGTGTGTGTGTGCGCGCGTGCGCGCGCGTCCCGCCTCCGTTCATCTGGCATTTCGGGGGCAGTCAGAGAGTGTCGGTGCAGTGCTTAAGTGCTCTGCTGCTCATCAAAAGGCTGGTGGTTTGAATCAACTAGTCGCTCCGCGGCAGAATGACGTACCGTCTACTCAGAGACCCCGGAAGCCAGGCCTGGAGACCTGCTTCTGAAAGCTCACAGCCTGCAGCTCTACTCTCCACACATGGGGTCGCCGTGAGCGCAATGGACCTGAAGGCAACTCACAGCAAAGCAGAAGCATCCCAGACGGGGACAGAGTCGGCACACTGTGGTCCGTGGAACTACGTGGTGGGTGTATGAATGCTGGGCCTGGGACATAAGGCAGACCAAGCCCCTCTGTTCAAGGGGTTTGCAGGTGGCAGGGGTGCGGGTAGGGTGGGGGTGGGGTGAGGCACTGCATCAAACACAGAAAGAGTACGATGGATTCAAACACATTTCAAGAGGGAGAATGGAAAGGGTGCAGAGAGATGGGAGGGCTGAGGGCAAAGGGGAGCCCATGGGTGCACCTTGCCTATGGGGCTTGGGTGTGAGCTGGGTGAGGGAGAGAAGCACACGGGCCCGATCACTATCGCTCCTCTTTGCCTAGCACGTGCTCTGGCCTGGTAAATACTGAATGAAGAAAGAATAAGCAAACATGGGACTGAAAGGGACTGCGCTGGGGTCCAGGAAGGACAGGAGAGAGGAAGGAAGGACTGTCTCCTGCTGTACCCCGAGGGCCCGGCCAGAGTCTGGCCACAGCAGGCACTCTGGATGTATCTGTGGAGTGAATGAGTTAGACTTCCGGTTTGTGAGTATTATAAGGGCAGGAACTATGGCTGTCTTGGTCTCTGCTGGGCTCCTGTTGTTGTTGTTGTTATGTGCAGTCCAGTCGGCCCCGACTCATAGCGACCCCTCCTTGGGTTTCCGAAGCAGTATCACTACGGAAGTAGGATTGCCCAACCTTCCTTCCGAGGAGTGGCTGGTGGGTTTGACCCGCCAGCCGTCTGGTTAGCAGGCAAGTGTCTCCTATTTAACCAAAAACCAAACCAAACCAAACCTGTTGCCATGGAGCTGATTCTGACTCACAGCGCCCCTAGAGGACAGAGTAGAACTGCACCAGAGGATTTCCAAGGCTGTGATCTTTGCACATGTGGACTGACACATCTTACCTCTGCAGATCGGCTGGTGGGTTCCAACCACTGACCTCCTGGTTAGCAGTCACTACTTACCCACTTGAACCACCAAGGCTCCTACTCTGAGGTGCTCAATTAACTTCTGCTGACTCAATGAGGCTTCTTAATCTAGATGTGGGCCCTGGGGGCACTTCCATTGGTCTCAGTCATTAATTATTTATTCATTCATTCATTCATTCAACCAACCAATCAACCCTTGAGTGCCTGTGATAGGCCAGGCAGCCTGGGCTTTTTAATAAGCCCCTCCCACAGCCGTTTTCCTCCTCTCTCATGGTTTCCAGTTTGCCTGAGAGGCCTAGGACTCCAGGAAGCTGTCTCAACTGGGGCCCATTTTGCCACACAGTGGACATTTAGCAGCGTCTGAAGACATTTTTGGTTGTCTTAAGGTGAGGAAGCCAGGGTGCTAATGGAACTTAGTGGGTAGAGATCTGGAATGATGCTGAACAACCAACAATGAATAGACCAGTCCCCACAACAAAGAACTAGCTAGCTCACTGCACTGTCAAGTCCCATCCGCCACACAGCAACCCCTCCTTGGGTTTCCCAGGTGGTATCACTATGGAAGTAGATTACCCAATCTTCCATCCGAGGAGTGGCTGGTGGGTTTGAACTGCTAGCCTTCTGGTTGGCAGGCAAATAACAAAAGAACTAGCCAGTCCCAAACATCATTGGTGCTGAGGCTGACAAACCTTGACTTCCAAGGAGCCTCCTTTTGCCTCTTCTTGGTGGACTGGCATTGTGGGTTGGATGGTGATAGCCATGAGTCCTGACTGTGGCAGGGAATGCTTGAATAAATATTTATTGACCTACTATGACTCTATAAGGAACTCTAGTGGTGCAGTGCCTAAGGCATTTGACTGCTAACCAGAAGGCTGGTGGTTCAAACCCACCAGCCACTTCTTGGAAGGAAGACTGGGCAATTTACTTCCGTTGAGATACTGCCTGGAAAACCCAAAAAGGGGTCGCTATGAATCGGAATTGACTCAATGGCGGGGAGTTTGGTTTGGTATGACTCTATAAGGAGCTTTGGTGGCATGCTGCCCAAGGCATTTGACTGCAAATTAGGTTGGCTGTTCAAACCCACGGTGAAAGGAAGATGCGGAAAGGAAGGTGATTCCATAGCGAGGCAGGCAACTAAGGCCTTCATTGCCTCTGAGCCTCCTTTTCCTCCCTTAATGGGGCAAGACCTGCCCCACCCAGCCCTGAATTCAGGTAGACTGCTTCCTCACTTAGTACCCCACCAACTTGGCTTGGCCTCACAGGGCTCTGGGAGGGGAGCTTTGCGGAGTAAACAGACCACTTACTGTTGATAGACTTGAGGTCCCGGTGGATAATGGCTACAGGGGCTTCATTGTGTAGGTAGTTCATGCCCCGGGCAACCTGCACTGCCCAGTTGACCAGCACGTGAGGGGGCACGCGGCGTCCTGCCAGCACCCTGCTCAGGGCGCCTCCTCTGGCATACTCCATGACCAGGCAGAGATGTGGGGGGCTGAGGCAGGCGCCCCGAAGGGCAATGATGTTGGCGTGCTTCAAGGCTCCGAAGAGCCGGGCCTCCTGACGCACCTGCTCGGCTGTCACTGCCGGGTCCCGCTCAGGGTCCAGCCGGGCGGCTTTGACCGCCACCTCCTCGCCACGCCACAGGGCCCGGTAGACCTTGCCAAAGCCCCCCACACCGATGATCTCTTCCAGCTGCAGCTCGTGGAAGGGGATCTCCTGGGGCAGCTGGAGGCCCGCGGGCGCGGTGGGGGCCACGTAGTTGCTGGGGAAGACCCCCACACGGCCGCTGGGCAGTTGCCCGGTCCACCAGCCCTCGTCGCCGGACACAGCACAGTCCTGGGAGAGCACCTGCACGCGGTCGCCCCTGCGCAGGGTCAGCTCCTCGTCGGCCGCCGCCTCGTAGTCGAACACTGCGGTCCAGACGGGCCCCGCGGGGGTCGTGGCCCAGTCCTTGGCCGCCGCCCCCTCCGCCTCCTCCATGGGGGAGGGGCCGGGGGCTGCGGGAGGCCGCTTCACACAGGCTGCCCGCGGGATCCTGCAGAGGGCGGGCCCCGGCCGCCAGGATGGGGGGCAGGTCCTGTGCGCTCCGGGGGGCTTCCGGGCGCCATGGCTGCGGAGCCAGAAACAGCCTCTTGGAAAGGGCAGGATCGTCCCCTCTAATTCCCGCTGCCCTGGCGGGCCACGGTGGGTGCGGGGAGGTGGGTTCACCTGTCTCCCCCAAACGTCAGGGCGCTAAAAGCGCCTGGTCGTGCGGCCCCCCGAATTCCTGCTGGGGCCTGCCGGTGGGGGCGCGGGCGAGGGACGCAGGCGGCCCCTTTCCCCGCGCCTCTCACCCCCTGGAACTCCACCGGCGGCCCCCGGCTCCGCATCCCGGGGCACGGCCGCCGGGCGGGGCGGGGGTGATGGGGCCCCGGGGCGCCCGCCCCGGGCTGGGGTGGTGCGCCCCTCGGCCTCTTCACGCGCGGGGCGGCCGGGCAGCCCCCATCCTCTGCACCGGCCTCCCGGTTGGCCCCAGCCCTGCCCCCGCCCGGGCTGCTTCCCCGGGCCGCCGGCGGTGCCAGCGTGACGTAATCGCTGCTGCCGCCGTGGTGCGGCCTGGGAGTTGTAGTCTGCGGCTGCACATCCTCGAGGCCCGCCCCCAGCCGCCCAGCCTCCCAGAGCCCCGCTGCGCATCTAAGGTTGCAATGGAGACTCAGAGGAGGCGGGAAAGTCCTCCTGAGATAAACCCGGTCTCAGACTTTCCTTCGGACCCCTTAGGCCGGGCACCTGGAAGACGGAAGGATGAGGGGACCAGGGTTCCCCAAAGACTCTGCGGGAGCCGCGACCCTGAGGGGGGGGGTTGACAATAACAGACGCGCTTTGCAAAGCGAAGAGTAGATGCTAAATGAACTACGGTATCATCTGTCTGGAGCAGTGAACATTGCCTGGATTAGGCCGGGAAGTGGGACGTCCTCTCGGCCCGACCCGAGGTGCACAATGGGAAATGTAGTCCGCCCTAGGCACTCGGCGCTGCGGGAGGCGGACCTCAAAATGCTTCAGGTAGCCTGCCCGCTAATGGATTCAGGCTGGTGGCGAGGCCTCTGCAGGGCGAAAGAGGCAGGGATGGGGTAATTGTCCCTGGGGATGTCCCAGCCACACCTCCTTTCCCCACCAGCTCTGGGTTCCTCGGCCTAGGCAGTCATAACACTCCAGAATTCTCGCCTCGCATAGTATGAGCTTCAATTTTGGAAACCCAAGGAGGGGTCACTATGAGTTGGATCCGACTTGACGGCAGTGAGTTTGATTTGGTTTTAATCTTACACAAACACTTTAAACATATGATTAAATACAAAAAGCCTCATTTTATTTATTTTTCAAAATTTATTCTTTTGTTGTTGGGAATATACACAGCAAAACAAACACCAATTCAGCAGTCTCCACATGGAGCAATTAGTGACAGTGGTGGCGTTCTTTGAGTTGTGCAGCCTTCCTCACGCTCCCTTTCTGAGTTATTCCTCCCCGGTTGAAATAAACTCACTGCCCCCTGACATCAAGCTCAATTGAATAACATACTACACAAAACATTGTTCCACATCCTACTTTGGCAAGTAACCACTGGGATCTTAAAAGCTTGCAAATGGCCATCTAGATGCAACAGTGGGTCTCTCCTTGTCCAGAGCAAAGAAGAATGAAGAAAACCAAAGATGCATGGAAACAATTAGTCCAAGGGACTGGTACACCATGCGATCCTCAGCCTATATGCCTATGAGACCAGAACTAGATGGTGCCCAGCTCCACTGTCAGCCACTCAGAGGGGGATCTATGTAGGAGATCCTGGATAGAGAGGGGGAACAATGTGGAACAAAACTCAAAATCATTAAAAAAAAAAAAAGGGTGGAGGGACCAGGTTTGCTGGTCTTACAGAGCCTGGTGGAAACCCTGAGACTATGGCCTCTAGCTGCCCTTCAGGTCTGGAATTGAACCCACTCCTGTGGCTTTCAGCCAAACAAAAGACAGGCATATAAGCTGAACATTTACAATAGGTAGATATACTCCTTGGAGAGATCAATCATGGGAGAACAGAAGGGCTGTGTATGCACAGGGAGATAGCTCAGGGCGCAGAAGTGCATGGAGGGATGGACACAGGGAAAAGGTAACTATAGGGAGGAAGTGGGGGGGAAGCTGTTGCATTGTGGGAAATTGTAGTCAATGTCATGAGACAGAGTGTATGTGAACTGCTGTATGGAAAGTGAATTTGCTCTGTAATCTTTCACCCAAATCACAATATAAATAAATAAATAAATAAACTCACTGCTCCCAAAGTTTCCTATCGAATTTTTCCAGTTGCTGTTGTCAATTAGATCCCATATAGATGGATCTTAAAGGAGCCTGATGGTCAAGGCAGACATTTTGGACTAGTTAAGCTTTGGTTTTAAGAAGACTTGAGGGGATATTTTTGGTTTAAGATTTAAAGATTATTTCAGGGCAATTGTTTTAGGGAGTCTTCCAACCTTCATGGCTCCAGGAAGTCTGAAGCCCATGAGAATCTGAAATTCTGTCCTTTATCATTCCCCTTTTGACCAAAAGATTCTTCTATAGAAACTTTTGATCACAATGTTCAATAATGGTAGCCAGGCACCATCCAGTTCTTCTGGTCTCCCAGCAAAGGAAGCAGTTGTTCCTGGAGGCAATTTGCTACACATTCCATATCCTCCTCCTGCTCCTGTCTCTACTTCTTCCTCGGTTGCTCCAGGTGATTAGAGACCAATTGCTGTGTCTTGGATGGCCAATTGCAAGCTTTTAAGATTCCTGGCCGACCCTGTACAACAAACTAGGAAGGAGAACAGAAGCACTAAACATTCCATTAGGCCAATTGATGAGGATGTCCCATGAAACCAGGACCCTAAACTTCGAAAGCAAGGAACCAAATCCCGTGAGGTTTTTGGTTGTACACAACCAGCCTCAGAAGCTAGTCTTTCTTTTTGTCATTGTCATAAATGTATCTATCACACAACTTGCCAATTCAACCTTTTACAGGTGTATAACTTATTAACAATTACAGTAATTGGCTGTGTAACTCTACCCTTAATAAATGCGATGTTTCCATCACCATTAGCCCTGCTCCTTTTACGCTCCCTTCCACCCCTCAAACCAAAAATCAAACTTACTGCCATCTAGTTGATTCCTTACCGAAGTAGATTGCCTCAACTTCCTCACACGGAGTGGCTGATAGGTTTGAACTGCTGACCCCTTATCTGCCTTATCCCCTATGCCCCCAGAGCTCCTTCTCCCTCTCCTGTAACCTGTAATAAACTTTTTCTCTATACATTTGCCTTTTCTTGTCTTTTTATATAAGTGAGGTTATACAATATTTGTCCTTTTGTAATTGACTGATTTTCTTCAGCATAATGTCTTCTATGTTGTAGTATGGCTGCTGACTGAGTAGTATTCCACTGTATATATATACCACATTTTATTTATCCTTTCATCTGTTGATGGGCATCCTGGCTATCGTGAATAATGCCGCAATGAACATTGGTGTTCAAGTTTCTGTTTGCAAGTCTTTTGGATATATACCTAGGAGTGGAACTGCTGCATTTGAACGTTGCCTGGACTAGGCTGTGTGGCGGGAGCTCTGGTAGCATAGTGCCTAAGGCACTTGACTGCTAACCAGGAGGCTGCGGTTCAAACCCACCAGCCACTCCTCGGAAGGAAGGTTGGGCAATCCTACTTCCGTAGTGATACAGCCTCGGAAACCCAAGGAGGGGTCACTATGAGTCGGGGCCGACTCGACGGCACATAACAACAACAACAACACCACCACGCTGTTTTTTACTACTGTACCACCAGCTGTGGGTAAGTGTTCCAATTTCCCCATAGCCTCACCAACATTTGTTATTTTCTGTCTCCCCAATTTTAGCCATTCTCCCAATTTTAGCCATTCTCTCACTGCCTTCCAGTGGATCCCAACTCATAGCGACCCCCACTGGGTTTCCGAGGCCATAAATCTTTACAGAAATAGAGCGCCCCATCTTTCTTCCACTTAGTCATCCTACATACTGCCATGGAGTCGAATCCAACTCATAGCGACCCCTCCTTGGGTTTCCAAGGCGGTATTGCTACAGAAGTAAATTGCCCAGCCTGTCTTCCAAGGAGGGGCTGGTGGGTTTGAACCGTCGGCCTTCTGGTTAGCAGTCAAGTGCCTTAGGCGCCGCGCCACCGGAGCGCCTTTGGCCACCCTAGTGGAAGTGGAAGGTCCCTCAGTGTGGCTTTGCTAGGCATCTTCTGATGGCTAACGATGCTGGGAATCTTCTCTTGTGTTCGGTTGGCCATTGAACATCCTCTTTGGTGAAATGTCTCCTTCCCCAGATCCTTTCCCCATTTTATTACTGCGTCACTTTGATGTTAAGTTGCCAGAGTTTTATATATTTTTTTCATTATTAGATTCTTGTCAGATATATGGTTTTGAGTAAAGTCTTTTGATGAACAAAAGTTTTAAATATTTATGAAGTCCCATATATTTATTACTTTTTCTTTTGCTGTTTGTCCTTTTGTTATTACATTAGTTAATCCATTGTTAAAAGAGCTAGGCCTGACAGCCTGACAGTGTTGCCCCTGCTTTCTCTTCTAAGCATTCTGTGGTTTTAGTTTTCACATTGAGATCCTTAATCCATTGTGAACTTGTTTCTGTGTGTGCTGTAAGGCATGGACCCTGTTCTGGTTTTCTGCACATGGAAATCCCATTCCCTAGCACCCTTTATTTATTTATTTATTGTGATTTGGGTGAAAATTTATGGAGCAAATTCACTTTCCATACAGCAGTTCACATATACTTTGTCTCATGACATTGACTACAATTTACCCCAATGCAGAGCTCCTCTCCCACTTCCTCCCCATAGTGACCACTTCCCTGTGTTCCTCCCTCCATGCCCTCCTGCCTCCTGAACTGTCTCCTTGTGCATAAGCAGCCCTTCTTTCTCCCATGATGTTCTCTCCAAGGA